AATCACTCAGTTCATCATCACAAGCTCTTCTTTCCATGTAACTGCAGGTGATGGTGTTGCTAACTTCTGCTACATAACAAGGATCCTTCTTCCTCTGTGTTCTAATAATATGTTCCTCATGTCCTTTTGAGGAGCTCTGGTAGCATAGTGCATGAGTCACTTGACTGCTAACCAGAAGGCTGGTGGTTCAAACCCACCAGCCACTCCTCAGAAGGAAGGTTGGGCAAGGACCCAAGGAGGGGTCACTATGAGTCAGAGCCAACTCGATGGCACATAAAACAACAACAACAACATGTCCTTTTGAGTCCTCGCTGGAAGCATTCTCTGAGTCCAGATTTCTACTAATAGTCTGTTCAAGGCAATTTAGGCTATCTCTATCGTGATTCTTAAAATCCTTCCAAGCTCTGCTCACTGCTTGGTTCCAAAGCCACTCCCACATTTTAGGTATTTGTTACAGCAGCAGCCCCCCCCCCCCCCCCCCTGTTATCAAGGTATATCTTAGTTATCTACTGCTGCATAACAAATGACCACAAAGCTTAGCAGCTTAAAACAATATATATGCATTTATTATCTCACAGTTTCTATGAGCCAGGATCCCAGGTATGGCTTATCTGTGCCCTCTGGCCAGGGTCTCTCACAAGGATGTAGTCACAGTGTCAGCCAGGCTGTATTCTCATATCAAGGCTCAAATGGGGAAGGATCTATTTCCAAGCTCATTCATGTGGGAGATTCATTCAGTTCTTCAAAGACTATGGAACCAAGGGCCTCAGTTCCTCATGAGCAGTTGGTAGGGGCCTCTCTCAGTTCCTTGCCACATGAGCCTTTCCATAGTGTTTCTTACTTGCTTTGAGCCTATCATCATGCCAACTTGCTGTGTGACTTTAGACAAGTCACTTCCACTCTCTGGGCTTCTATTTCTTCATCTATGATGAAGATCTCGAAGATCATTTCAGCTCTGACTTGTTGCTTCTATGCTTCCTTTATTACAAAGACACTTAACATTTAGGCCCAGCTGCTAAGCCTCCATTATCCAATAGTTTTTTTGACTTAGATGAAAATGCTTGCAAAACCTTAAAAACAAAACAGAACAAAAACAAAACAAAACACCTCATGTGATAAAAGAATATGAATAAGAAAAAGATCAGCTGAGAAAGAGGAACACAAAGATGCCAGAGCTGCCCCTCAAATTTGGAACAAAGAACTGTTCCTTAGAAGGGAAAGTGCAGTAACCCCAGAGTGACCTCCTGCCCTTGACTCCCCTCCATCTTGGCCAAGCTGGTTCCTTATCCATGATCTTGATTAACTGGCCGGTAAAATGGACACAATTCTCTTTGCAGGAAGGCAAATCATCCAGAATAGGGGCCTAGGACAGTGTACCCTGTAGCCAGGGGCTTGCTGGAATTCCTTGGGGAGCTGTGGGTGTGTAGAGGGTGGGGACAAGAGGAAGAAAAAGATTACTGTCTTAGACTCATAATGCTGCTGTAACAGAAGTACCACAAGTGAGTGGCTCTTCTGAACAGAAATTTATTTTCTCACATTTAGGAGGCTAGAAATCTGCATTCAGCTCTAGAAGAAAGCTCTCTGCTTCAGCTTCTGTATCTTGGCATTGGTCAGTTCCTTGGTGGTCACTGTATGACATCTACCTATCTTCCTCCCATTTGTGCTTCCTTGTCTGTGCTGTTGTTGTTGTTAGGGGCCATCCGGTTGCTTCTGATCCGTTGTGACTCCATACAAAAGAGTGAAATCACCAGAATAGGGGCCTAGGGCAATGTACCCCACAGCCAGAGATCTGCTGGGACTCCTAGGGGAGCTCTAGGTGCATAGGGCGTGGGGACAAGAGGAGGAGGAAGAGATGGAAGAAGAAGATGACCGTCTTAGTTTACTAGACAGTACTACTGCCCGGTCCTGCACCAGCCTAATTGTTGCTGTGTTTGAGCCCATCGTTGCAGCCACTGTGTCAGTCCGTCTCATTGAGGGTCTTCCTCTTTTTCACTGACCCTCTCCTTTACTACACAAGATGTCCTTCTCCAGGGACTGGTCCCTCCTGATAACATGTCCAAAGTACATGAGATGAAGTCTCGCGTCCTCATTTCTTTTTCTTTTCTTTTTCTTTTGTGCCCTGTGGTCAATTGCTCCAAGGGATGCATCTCCATAGAGTATGTGTGTATGTCACCTTGGGCTGAGTGGTCTGTGTGTACGTCTTAAAGTGTTGAGTGGTCTGCGTGTATGTCTTATTTACTATTGGGCTGAGAGCCAGCCTCTGGGAGTGAGTTTATTCTAGGCCCAAAGTGTATCCCAGGGCTATAGTATTGGGGGTCCCACCAGACTCCATCCAACCAGTAATTCTGGTCATTATTGTGTTTTTGGATTTTGTTCCACATTTTTCCTCCCACTCTATTCAAGATCTTCAGTTGTCCTCGTTTCTAAGGAGCATTCTGGCTGTACTTCTTCCAAGACAGATTTGTTTGTTCTTCTGACAGTCCATGGGATGTTCAGTATTTTTTGCCAACACCACCATTCAAATGCATCAGTTCTTTTTGGTCTTCCTTAGTCATTGCCCAGCTTTCGCATGCATATATGAGGCAACTGAAAATACTGTGGCTTGGGTCAGGTGCACCTTAGTGACATTTTTGCTTTTGAACATTTTAAAGAAGTTGTTTGCAGCACATTCACCCAATGCAATATGTCATCTGATTTCTTGACTGCTCCTTGCATGGGTGTTGATTGTATATCCAAGTAAAATGAAGTCCTTGACAACTTCAATCTTTTCTCAGTTCATCATGACGTTGCTTGTTGGTCCACTTGTGGGGATTTTTGCTTTCTTTATGTTGAGGTGTAATCCACACTGAAGGCTATAGTCTTTGATCTCCATCAGTAAGTGCTTCAAGTCCTCTTCACTTTCAGCAGGCAAGGTTGTATCATCTGCATATTGCAGGTTGCTCCATCCCCCACCCCCCAACATCCATTGCCACTGAGTCCATCCGACTCATAGCAACCCTACAGCACGGAGTAAAGCTGCCCTGTAGGTTTTCTTTTAATTTCTTTTTTCTTTTAAATTATTATTTGAGTGAAAGTCTACAGAATGTATTGGTTTTCCACTCAACAATTTGTATGCATTTTGTTTTATGACATTTATTGCAATCCCCACAATGTAACAGCCCCCTTCCCATTTCCCCCATGTTTACCATTTCCTTCTCTTCCCCTTTCCTGTCCTATCCTGCCTTCTGAGGTCACCCCTGGGCAAATGATGCCCTTTTGATCTCCTGTGCTTGATTATTCTAAGGAATGTGCACCTCCCTGGTGTTATTGTTCACCTGATAGACCTGTCTGTTGTATAGTTGAGAATTGAGCCATGTGGGTGAGTTCAGTTCCAGGCTTGAAGAGTGTCTAAAGGCCATAGTCCCAGGGATTCCACCAGTCTCTATCAGACCAGTAAGCCTGGTGTTTTTAATGATTTTGAGTTTTGTTCCATATTTTCCCCACTCTAGCTCTCACTCTCATTGCCGTGGAGTCGGATGTGAATCAAAGTAACCCCTCCTTGGGTTTCCAAGGCAATATCACTACTGAAGTAGATTTCCCAATCTTCCTTCTGAGGAGTGGCTGGTGGGTTTGAACCACCAGCCCTCTGGTTAGCAGTCAAATGCCTTAGACACTATGCCACCAGAGCTCCCAGTTGTACTTTGGCCAATATCACAGGTTGTTAATGAGTCTTCCTCCAGTCCTGATACCACGTTCTTTTTCATTTAGTCTAGCTTCTTGGATTCACAGCATACAGATTGAATAAGTGTGGTGAAAGGATACAACCCTGACACACACCCTTCCTGATTTTAAAGCACGCGTTATCTCCTTGTTCTATCTGAATGACTGCCTCTGTGTCTATACAAATCCAAACACCAAACCAGTTGCCATGTTTATTCCTCCTCATGGCCACCCCATGCATGATCTGTGCTCTATGGGGTTCTCTGGGCTGTGGTGCCACTGGGTGGGTTCACCTTGCAAACTTCCAGCTGCCAACTGAGTGGAGACAGTTTGTATCACCTAGGGAGAGCATTTCTGTGTCTATGGTTCTACTTAAGGAGCCCTGGTGGCTCAATGTTAACATGTTTGGCTGCTAACTGGAAGGTTGGCAGTTTGAACCACCAGCCTGTTCTGTGGGAGAAGAGATCTGATGATCTCTTTGTTCTCATGAAGATCACACAAATCAAAAACCAAATGCACTGCCATCGAGTCAGATCTGACTCATAGCAACCCTTCCTTGGGTTTCTGAGGCAGTGTCACTATGGAAGTAGATTGCCCAAGCTTCCTTCCGAGGAGTGGCTGATGGGTTTGAAGCACCAGCCTTCTGGTCAAATCCCTTAGGCACTATGCCACCAGAGCTCCCCATGAAGATCACAGCCTAGGAAATTCTATGGGCATTTCTCTGTCCTAGGGTCCTGTGTGAGTCAGAATTCATCCCAGGGCAACCACACAACCACAAGCTGCTGTTTTTCTCATTCAGAAGGGATTAAGTTTAGGACCCACTGAAATGGCCTCATGTCATATTAGATTATATCAGAGAAAACCTTATTCCCAAGCAGGATTGCATCCACAGGGATAGGGGTTAGAATTCCATCTTTTTTTGGGGTTGGAATACTGTTCAGTCCAAACAATTACAAAGGAGGAAGGGATCCTAAGTCCCAAGGCTGTTTGAGAAAGGCTTTTGAGATCCCAGTGATGGGGTGACCAGGGATTTCGGGAGAGGGCAGAGCCTGTAGGGTTCTGGAGCCCAGTGGTAGAGGTGGGCGGGGCAGGGGGCTCTGAAGATCTGGGCAGGGCTAGAGAGCACCCGGAACAAGTTGGAAGGACCATGGTCAGGGCTGGGCAGACAGACGGCTGCAGGCCTTTCTCTTTAGCTCTCAGCCCATCCTCAATCACCTGGACTCTGTGTCATCTGAGACGATGAGTGGGTCTCTTTGTCTGCAAGACTAAGCTTGGAATTACCTTTTCCAGAAGGAGAGAAGATGGAGCTTGGCCCCAGAGCAGGTAGGCTGGGCAGATCAGGGACCTGGGACATGAAGAATACACACCCAAGGCCTCAGGAGGGGATCCCTGGAAACAACAAGGAGGAGCCCTTTCCCCTTTGCCCTCACTCTCACTTTGGTCCCCAGACCCACCATCTTCCCTACTTCCTGGGAGACTTCTGTTTGCAGACAGAAGGGAGGGGAAGGAATATTTGTGAGCACCCCCACTCATCATGGCAGGCCTGAGGATTATGACCCCAGCACAGTTCCCACTCAGGGGGCTCAGAGCTAAGAGGGGAAACAGACTCTGCATCAGGGCAGGGCTGTGGGACACAGCATAGCTGTGGGAGAACATGGCCACAAGCCTGGCCTGGTGTGAGTGGAGGGACATGTAAGTCACAAGTAAGCCAAGCCGGGGGTGGTATAGCCTGAGGAGGGGAGGAGAGAGTGTTCCAGGCAGGGTACAGCCAGGGCAAGGCCTGGAAGTAGGAGAGGGCTGGTAGCTGAAAAAGATAGAACAGAGTTGGCAGCTTGGTTGAGGGTGGAGAGGTAGCCAGGCTAGGTCTTGAGCCTAATCCCTGAGGGCAGGCCTCTGCCCTGGGAAAGAGCTAAGGGTTTCAGTGAAGCAGTGACTGGGTCAGGTCAGCTCTGGGAAGGCTCCCTACATAGGAGTGGAGGGTGGCTGGGCCAGTAGGTGGGGAGGGGTCAGGACTGGGACCCCAGTGAGCTTGGGTGGGAATCCTGCTAGAATCTTTCTCCAAAGGGCCCTTGTTAAACCCTTGGATCCCTGACCACCCCCACAGATTCTGCTGCAGCTGGTCTGGGAGAAGCCCAGGAATCTGTATGTTTAACGAGTACCCCAGGTGATTCTGATAAACGTTACATTTGCAAAACTTGGTCTTCTGATGCTCATGATAGCTTGTGAAGTGGGATTTGCTATTGCTGGTAGTTAACTAAGGAGCCCTGGTGGTGCAGTAGTTAAGTGGTAGGCTCTAACCAAAAGGTCAGTGGCTTGAACCCACCAGCCACTCCATGGGAGAAAGCTGCGGCATCTGGTTCTGGAAACATGTCAGCCTTGGAAAGCCTACGGGGAAGTTCTGCTCTGTCCTATAGGGATGCTATGAGTTGGAATTAACCTGATGACGATGTGGTTTTGGTTTGGTTGGTTGCCATGAGTCTGCTGGGACTCATGGTGACCCCATGTGTGACAGAGGGAAAGGCTGCCTGGCCCGGCACCATCTTCAGGTTCACTGGTCTGTTAGAGTCCATGCTGGTGGCAGTTGTGTCCACCACCTCCCTGAGGGTTTTTCCCCTTGGGTTTCATCCTCCCCATTGTATAGCTGGAGGAATGAGGGGAGGAAAGGTGGAGTTGCAGTGATATCCCAGAAATGACAGATGCAGACCTTCATTCACTCATTCATTCATGCCTTCATTCCACATACATTTACCTCTAAGAGGACAGGGATTGGTCATTGCTGTAACCCCAGTGCCTGGCACAGCACCTTGCACACATGGTAGTCCCTCAATGAATGAAAAGAAGAATATATCGGTTCTTTGAGGCAATGGATTCAAGACAAGGTTCCCACCATTAAAGTGCTCATGACCTCAAGGGACAGGCAGATGTGAGCAGGCAATTATGTGGTGACAATGTGGTCAGGTTGTGAGAAAAGATGCCAGGAGCATAGCCTGGGGAGTTTGAGGAGGTCAAGCCCTGAGTCCTTTGGGGCCAGGGGGGGCCCTACCCCTGTGCTGGGCCTCAGACTCCCCAAATGTAGGTTGAGGGGCTGGGGTTGGCTGCCTGGGTGCTGAGTGCCCTTCCTGTTCTCTGCTCCTTCTTCTGAGCAGGTGCTCTCCCACCATCCCCACCTCTGCTTGGCTTCCTGTTTGCTGGGCCAGAAACCTGGGTGAGGACAGAGGGAGGGCCACCTGGGAGGACAGGTTTCACTTGTGCCTTTTGTATAGGGGACAAAGTATAAGGCTATCTGATTTCAGCTTGCAGACAGGCCTGGCCTCAGCTTTCCTTGCCTCCCACTTCCCTGGGAGGGGTCTGCAGCCTCCCATGAGGTGGGTAGAGGGGGCTCTCCCAGAGCACCACCACTCGGCCACAGCAAAACAGGATTCAGGGGGAGTTAAATGAAAAATCCAAAGCCTGATGCTGAAGGCAGCTGAATGTGGGATAGGAGCTAAATCCTGAGCAGTTTGAAAAGAAAAAACCAAACCCACTACCATGGAGTAGATTCTGACTCGTAGCAATGCTATAGGACAGAGTAGAACTGCCTCACAGGGCTTCCAAGGCTGTAAATCTTTACAGAAGCAGACTCCTCATCTTTCTCCTATGGAGCAGCTGGTGAGTTTGGACAGCCAACCTTTTGGTTACCAGCCCAACCACTGTACCACCAGAGCTCCTATCTGAAAGGAATGATCCTTGAATAGACCCCCAAGATATAGTGTTAAATGTTTTAATGTTGTTGTTGTTGTTATGTGCCATGGAGTCGGACCTGACTCATAGCGACCCCTCCTTGGGTTTCCGAGGCAGTATCACTACAGAAGTAGATTGCCTAGTCTTCCTTCTGAGGAGTGGCTGGTGGGTTTGAACTGCCAGCCTTCTGGTTAGCAGTCAAGTGCCTTAGGCACTATGCTACCAGAGCTCCCAGTGTTTTAATGGAAAGTTACAAATCAATACATAGAATCTAATCTCCATAAACAAAGGTAAAACAAAACTATACATCCTTGGAAAGGGATGGAGGACCCTTCCAGAATGTTTTGGAGAGAAACTACCAAGCCACTTCATACCTGTCACCCGGATTGAGGATGGGGCAGGCTGTGCTGTTGGTAAGTTTTTCCCGGTGAGGAAAAAAAAAAAAAAAAAAGAACCTACTCCTTGGATGTCCTAAGTTGTGCTCCAAGTCGGGACAAGTTGTGAGATGCACCATCACTTATGTTCACTAAGAGGGAACTGCTAGCTGAGCCACCACCCAGTGTTTTCTTAGCCCATGGATGGGTCAGAGGCAGGCTGACGTCAGAGATGCCAGAATGAGAAGTGATGCTGGAATGAGAACCCATGAGGTAGTGTTCTGGATCGGATAGCCTGTAGCCCCCCATCCCCTCCCTCACCATCGTCATACACACAAACCTCTGGTGGGGTTGTGAGGGCCCAGACGGACTTCCTCTGTGTGGACCCTGCCCCACATCCTACCTTCCCCATCTAGGAGGGACAACGAGACAGTCTGTAACTCACAAACTGAGCGTCTTGAGAGATGTGTCAAGTGTTGAGCAGATGACAAGCAGAAGCTGCCCTTGCCAGCTTGGGGGTGGGGTGTCAGGGGGCACTTCTGGCTGCGGCTGTATTTGAAGGCCAGTGATTAGCTTCCTAGGACTGTTGTAACGAAGTACCACCAACCTGATGGCTTAAAACAACAGAAATTGTTTCTTCCCCAGTTTGGAGGCTAGAGGTCTGAAATCAAGGTGTTAGCAGCGGCCATGTTGTTGTTAACTGTTGTTGAGTCGATTCTGACTCATGTCGAGCCCGCAGGGTTTTCGAGGCTGTGACCTTTCAGTAGCACCTCACCAGGCCTCTATCTTTCCTCCTGCCCCACCTCTGTGGCCCCTTGCTGCCCTCCACTTGCTGAGTTTGTCTATCAGCCCATCTCTTTCCCCCAACTCAGGTACAACCACTTTGCCCAGAGCCTGCCTGAGCAGCAAGGAATTTCAGCAGGACTCAGACTCCTGGCGAACCACCCACAGCCCCTTGGACACCTCCAAGTCCAAGTGCCAGGCCCCGCTCTCCCTGCAGCCGCCTGCAAACCCGGGGGGCAGCGCTGGAAGCAACCAGCTAAGTTCGGCCCACCTGGAGAAGGTGCAGCCTCCACCCCCAACGGCTGTTCACAGGGACTCTCCAGGGATGGACCCACAGTCCGGGACCTTGCGTAAGGCGAGCTCCAGACTCTCCTGGAGGGAGAGCAGGGACACCTTCCGAGAGGGGGCTGTGCCAGGCGAGGGACTGGAAGGAGGTGCCAGCTTGGAGACCCAGGACCGAAGGGGCTCACCTGCATGCCAGGAGAAGAGCGTCATTCCTGACAACATTCGCCACAAGTTTGGGAGCGACATGGTGGACCAGCTGGTCACTGAGGAGCAGGTGTCAGACAGAGGGACAGGAGGCTAAAGGGGCAGCAGGAGGGTTACCCATGAAGACTTAAAATGAGGACCCAAAAGAAATCTGTTCTTATTAGAGTCCCTGTAAGAGCTAATATTTATGGAGCACCTACTATGTGCAGGCACTGTGCACTGCTTAAACTCTTTATATGTAACAAATCACTTAATCTTCCCAACAACCCTATGAGGAAGGTACGATTATCATCCCCATTTTATGGATAAGAAACTGGAGGCCTAGAGGGTTCAATAACTTCACCAAATCACCCAGCTGTGTGGGACCAGGATCCAAACAGAGTCCTGGTCCTTAATGCCTTTGTAGTTATAAGTCTTGTATTTGAACTGAATGTTTACAAATTGATCAAGTCTTCTAAGGGAGGCAGCATCAAGTGAGTGGACAGCATTGGTTGGGATTCAGAAGACCCGGTGGTTTTTCCCACCTGATATAAACCATTTTATATGGTATATACCGTTTTAGGAGCTCTGATAGTGTAGTGCCCAAGGCATTTGACTGCTAACCAGAAGGCTGGTGGTTCAAACCCACCAGCCACTCCTCAGAAGGAAGGTTGGGCAACCTACTTCCATAGTGATACTGCCTTGGAAACCCAAGGAGGGGTCTCTATGAGTCAGATCTGACTCCACGGCAGTGAGTTTGGTTTTTGTGTTTGTTTGTTTGTTGTTGTTATATACCATTTCAGGCAGTCACTACTAATCAATTGAACTTGACCATTTGTGATCTGCCATTTATGATCAAATGTTAAGGCATTCTCAGACGTATTTTCAAGGCCACCATCTCAACACTCTCAGCAACTTCATTGTGCAATAGGCCGGGAAGCAAATGCTATCCTCCTATTTTTTGCAGATGGGAAAACTGAAGCTCAGAGAGTTGATATGATCTGCCCAGGGTCACACTCTGAGCAAGTGGAAGAGCCAGGGTTATAAAACACCCCCACACCAGGGTCCCCTTCCAATTTATCATCTTAAAGTGTGATGACTTCACCTGCCAGTAAGTCTGGGAGGTCACAATCCTAACTGCCCTGCCCATTGGAACCTCTTGCCCCAATTTGAGGTTGGGATATATGGTCATGACCTCTCCCTGCCCCTCTTGGTCTTAGGGAGATGGCATTTGTCACCTCAGCCACCATTGTTCTGGGCTTGAATCAAAATATCTAGCTTTTCTGCTCAGCTGTGACACAGGTCATGGGTGTCATCAAGCCAGCAAATGTCAGACCTGGAAGCTGCTTCAAAGACCATTCAGGTTTATCCTCCGAGGCCCAGAGAGGTGCAGACTTGCCCAAAATCAACAGCAGAGAAAGGACTCAAACCCAGGTTCCCTGACTGATAGGCCTCGGCTCAACCTCTCTTGGCCTCAGTTTCCCCATTGGTGGAATAAATTAATAGGTTTTGGTGAAATCTAAGGGCCCACCTGGAGCAGACATTGAATGATACTTTTGTTCTGGGAGCAAGCCAGGGCTTTGTACTTTACTCACTGTGTGACCTGGGAGAGGCCCTGCCCTCACTGAGGACCAGTTTCCTCATTTATAGAAGGTGGGGATAACGTCCCCCCATCAGAATCTGTCCTGATGCTGCCCAGAGTAGATGTTCAACTTGACTGCTAACCAAAAGGCTGGTGCTTCAAACCTACCAGCCAGTCCTTGAAAGGGAGGTTGGGCAATCTGCTTCCATAGTGCTACCACCTCGGAGACCCAAGGAGGGGTTGCTATGAGTTGGGTTCAGCTCAACGGCACATAACAACAATAACAACAAGAAGGATCTGTGCTGATTCTGCCCAGAGTAGAAGTTCAATGTGTGTGGGGAGGTTTTATGATTATGATTATCTGTGGTGCCCCCAGCCCATGGTGTGTGTGTGTCTCTGTGTCTGTGTGTGGCTTCCTAACTCTCAGACCCCAGAGGTTGCAGGTTAGGGGTGGTGTGGAGGGTGGTGAGGGCAGGGTCAGAGGGAGAAGGAGTTAGAGGGGAGATGTGGATCTTGACCCTGCTTTTCCATCCCTTGTCCCTACTCCTTTCCTCCCTGCTCAGGCACAAAGGGCCATTGGTGAAGTCGTGGAGTGCCAGAAGAGGTCAAGTTCATGGCCCAGCAGCATCCAGAGTCCCGTGGAAATCTCCTCCATCTTCTCAGACTACTATGATCTGGGCTACAACATGCGGTCAAACTTGTTTCAAGGTCAGGCCAAAGGGCAGAGTGAAGGCTGTGAAGACCCATGGTCCCCATGGCATTGGCTAGGGAAGACCATTGGGTGGGGTGTTCACCCTGCCTGAACCTCATATGGGGTTTAGGGGCCCTGTGGCACACTACAGGATCATTTATTTTGCAGTCACCAAGGGCTTCCTCTATGCTAGGCCTGGGCCCTGAACTGGAAAGATCCAGTTCCCTTGACAAGTTGGTCACATTGTACATGAGGCCCAGTTGGCAGTCAGCCCCTCACTCCCGGGACACCTCTGGCTTCTTAATCTGCCACTAGGAGGCCTGGGCATCACTGGCCTGGGCACCTTTGGTCAGAGTGACAATGTCAGGTTTCCTGGGTTCAAAGCTCAGCTCTGCCACTCACTTGTCGGTGACCTTTGGCAACTCTCTGAGCCTCAGTACCTCTTCAGTAACGAGCCTAATGCTAGGATGGCCCTCTATGGGTGGAGGGCAGGAGTCTGTAGAATTCACTATGTGTTTGGCCTGAAGCACATAGTGAAGGCTCAGGAATCATTGGATCATTCTTTCTCTTCTTGAGCGTCCAGTTGCAGTGCCTCCTGGGAAAAGAAGGGTGGGCTGGAGACTCCAACATCTACAGTGTTTCCTGTGGGTAGCAAGGTCCTATTTGGTTGGGGGAAGTGCTATTAGCTCTGTTCCCAGGCAGATTGGAGGGAGGTTGCCAAGACCTCTCCATCTATGAAGGGGATCATGATTCTAATTCAGGGTTTTCTTCTGTTTCCAAACACTATCATCTTTCTCTGGCAACAGGTCACCTCCCTAGTGATGACTCTAGTGCCAAGGGTTTTCTGGAATGTTCTGATGGGACTCTGTGGCCAGCATACAGAGGATTCTCTCTGCCCCCACATTGCGGTTCAACCTCACTAAAGTGGGTCAACTTTCTGGTACTCCTCCTTCTTCCCTCTTGGCAAGCCTCCTCTGCCTGGCACAGATCCCTGTCACCCGAGGAACCTGACACCCTGTGGAAGGCTTTCTGGGTTTTCCTTTGAGCTTGTAGACGGGTGTAGGGTGGGGAGAATATAGCTCAGATTCTCCTCTGGTCTGGGTCTTAGGAATTCTGCTTTCTTGTTCTCTCTGCAACAATTATCACAAAATAGTTCTCACCTACAACCTTGTGTGGTAATGCATATGTGTCTGTAAAGAATAATGTAAAAAACATTAGTGTGCCCATCGCTAACCTCAGAAACAGAACTGTGCCCTGGGCATGCTGGTGCCAGCTTGGACCAGCATGCCCGAGCTTACAAGAGTCAGTTGTGAGGTTTTTCTGAGGTGATTGGCATCATCATCATATCTTCTTCTTCTTCTTCTTTAAGTATTTTGTTTATTTATTGTTGTTGACAATATGCATAGCAGAATATATAGTAACTCAACCACTTCTCCATGTACTAGTTGGTGACACCGATGACATTCTTTGAGTTATGCACCATCCTCACCCTCTTCTTGTGAGTTGTCCCTGCCCCATTAACATAAACTCACTGCCTCCTCAGGTTCCCATCTAATCTTTCCAGTTGCTGTTGTTGATTTGATCTCATGTAGATAGATCTCCAAAGAGTACCTTGTTCAGTGCAGGCATTCTTTACCAGTTAAGCTAAACTATTGTTTAGTTTTAAGAAAACCTCAGGGGATATTTTGATTTAAAGTTTAAGAGTTCTTTCAGAGCAATAGTTTCAGGGGGCGTTATCACAGTATCTTATCATCAGCCCTGGTGTTGTTGTTATGTGCCATCGAGTTGGCCCCGACTCTTAGCGACCCCTCCTTGGGTTTCTGAGGCGGTATCACTATGGAAGTAGATTGCTCCATCTTCCTTCCAAGGAGTGGCTGGTGTGTTTGAACCTCCAGCCTTCTGGTTAGCAGTCAAGTGCCTTTGGCACTATGCCACCAGAGTTCCCATCAGCCCTGGTAGTAGTACTTATACTCCAGAAATTGGCAAACAGTACAAGGTGGGCCTTTACCGCCTCTAGAACACCACTGTCACTGTGCCCCTCCCATGCTCCCCACTGCCTCCACCTACCTGGGTTAGCCTCTGTGCTTGCTGTTGGAGGTGAGTGAGGCTCGGGTGTCTGGACAGGAGTTAGCGGGAGAGTTATCAGTCAGTGAAATCAGAGAGGCAATGGGCTGGATCATGAAGGGGCTATGGACCACTGTGAGGTCTTTTCTGGGAGTGAGATGGGAAGCTGACGGAGGGTTTTAAGCAGGAGAGTGGCATTTGACTGGGTTCAAGGCTCAGTCCAACTGCAGTGTTGACAACAGGCTGCAGGGCAGCTGGGGCAGAAAAGGAGACTAGTGAGGAGGCAACTGGAAAAGCCCGGGGTAGGGGGTAGATGATGATGGCGTCTTGGAGTAGGGAGCCAGACTAGTGCACGACTCCAGAGGGCACCATTGTGCGATATAGTGGCCCAGGTGGCACTAGTGAAGGGCCTGATGCAGGATTCTGGGTGTTTCTGTAAGGTAGAAGGGCAAGTAGTTGACTCACTCAGCTGCTAACTGAAAGGCTGGAGATCCGAGTCCACTCAGAGGTGCCTGAAAGAAAGGCCTGAAGATTTACTTCCGAAAAACCATCCATTGAAGATGCTATGGAATTGGTGTATATTCTGCTGTGTATATTTTCAACAACAGCAACCAAAATAAAATACATTATATATTTAAAAACCAAACATTCAAACCAAACAACTCTATGGAGCACATAGCAAGTTGACTCGGTGACAAATGGTTTACCGGTGTGATGGGGCAAATAGAATATGCTAATGAATGGATTTGGGGTGTGAGAAGAAGGTTGATTTCCAGGTTTTTGCCATGAGACCTGGAAGGATGGAGTTGCTGTTTACTGGTAGAGGGAAGCTTTTAGGAGGAAGAGGTTGAAGCAATCCTATCCCATGCTGAGTCACAGGGATAATCTTTCACATTCTTCTAAAACATTGTGTTTTGCTTTTCACATTGAAGTCTTTAATCCACATGGAGTTGATTTCTGGTTTTGGTGTGAAGGAGGGTTTCATTTTTAATTCCTTCTTTATGTGGATTAGCAGTAGTCTTAGCACCATTTATTGAATAGTCTCATCCTTTCCCCAGTGATGTATAAGGGCCACCTCTGCATCAATTGAGTTTCCACATGGCCATGGCATTCATGGTGCCCATGGGGTAACTCAGCAGACTTTAAAATGGAATTGAAGAACCATTTACCAGGTTAATGAGGTGCCTCATTCCTAATTTACATTTTAATTAAAAATATGAATAGGTGTTGAGTTTTGACTGTATAGCAATTATTGAGATGCTCATATAATTTTATCCTTTCATCTGTTAATATGGTGAACTACATGAATTGATTTTCTACCATGAAACCAAATTTGCATTTTTTAGTTATATTAAAAAAAACCCTCACTGCTATAAAGTTGAATCCAACTCATAGCGACCCCTTTTTGGGTTTCTGAGGCGTTACCTCTGTGGAAGTAGATCACCCAGTCTTCCTTCCAAGGAGTAGCTGGTGTTTTTTTTTTTTAATTTTTTTTTTTTAATTATGAAAACTACCATGCACGTAGAAGAGTGCATAAAATCTATATAACAAATCCAATAGCTTGTGCCACCTTCAAGGTTAAGGGAGGCCCCTGTGTACCTCTCCTAGCTACATCATTCTTCCTCCTGCCAACAAAACACCATCCTGACTTTAGTTTGACTTGTGCTAATAATCCTTTGCTTTGCTTTTCAGTGTTAGCCCCTGTGTATAAACTCCATAAAAAAGAGAATCCAATCTGACTCATGGTGCTCCACCGGCATCAGAGCAGATCTGTGCTCCATAGCGTTTTCAATGACTGAGTTTTCAGAAGGAAGTTGACAGGCCTTTCTTCCAGATGCACCTAGGGTTTGCAATGGCTGATTTTGTCAGAAGCAGATCTTTATTCCGAGGTGCCTCTGGGTGGACTCAAACCTTCAACTGTTTGGTTAGCAGTCACATATGAGCCATTTTGCACCCCCTAAGCTAACCAGACGGCTGGCGGTTCAAACCCACCAGCCACTCCTCGGAAGGAAGGTTGGGCAATCCTACTTCTGTAGTGATACTGCCTCGGAAACCCAAGGAGGGGTCGCTATGAGTCGGGGCCGACTCGACGGCACATAACAACAACAACAACAAGGACTCTGTATGAACCCATAAGCAATGTCAAAGAGGCAGGTACAGTAGACTTCAATGAGAAGGTGATGCTTGAGCAAAGACTTGAAGGAGGGGGGCAGGGTAGGACTGTAGATGTCTGGGGAAGAGCAGTCAGGTAAGGGGACCATGGAGAGGACCTTGGCTTTTACTTGTATCTTTATTAGGAGCCGTTGTAGGATTTTCTGGTGGTGCAGTGCCTAAGGCATTTGACTGCTAACCAGAAGGTTGGTGGTTCAAACCCACCAGCCACTCCTCCGAAGGAAGACTGGGCAATCTACTTCCATAGAGATACCACCTTGGAAACCCAAGGAGGGGTTGCTGTGAGTTGGAACCGACTCAACAGCAGTGAGTTTGTTTGTTTGTTTGTTTTGGCATTGTATTACAGGATTTTAGAGAAATAATAAGATCCATTTGATTATTGGGTTGGGACTGGACAGAACGCAGTTGTGCAGGAGTTGTTATGTGCCATGGAGTCGGACCCGACTCATAGCGACCCCTCCTTGGGTTGCCAAGGCAGTATCACTATGGAAGTAGATTGCCTCATCTTCCTTCTGAGGAGTGCCTGGTTTGAACTGCCAGCCTTCTGGTTAGCAGTCAAGTGCCTTAGGCAGGAACAGGGAAACCAGTGAGGAGGCTAATACACTCATCTAGATGAGACATGACAGTGTCTCAGACCATGGTTGTGGCTGTGGAGGTGGGGGAAGGGGTTAGATTCTGTGTGAACATAGCAGGTAGAACCATTGGATTTCTTAATAGATTAGGTATGGGTAAGAAAAAGGGAAGTCAAAGATGCCCTCAAGGCCTGAAAGTGGGAAGGATG